CCATAGCCATTACAGCCCCAGAAACACATATGGGGCAGTTCTACTGTATCTGTAGGGTCATGACGAGTCAGCATCAACCCACTGGCAGTGATGGAATGTGTGATGTTAGATTTTAGATGATTAATTTTAAAGTTCAGACATTTAATGATTTATTATGTTACACAAAAATATCACATTGAATATGAGAAGGAGGTGTGTGTATTGATTTGTTTCTTTTATTTTTTCATTTCCAACAAGAGGTGCAAGTCAGGAATAGGCTGGTGTGCTTCTTCCATGTGGGCTTTGTTGCTTCTGAGCTTGATGGCTGCTTGATTACCTTCAAGCCTTTAAGACCCCAGACACTATACTTTTTGATAGCCGGGCACCATCAGCAAGTCAGGAATAATAAAAACAAAAAAACCCAAAGCAAACCATTGCCAGTACCCTCAGAGCACTGCTTTGGCAAGCTCTTGCCTCAACCACACACAGCCGCAGGGCAGTGTGTGGCCAACACTTCTCAAGTGCTTTTTGACCAGCCTCCCCCTCAGCCACTGAAAGTCACTGGGGTGTATGTGACCTGTGACCCTCTAGTGCTATGTGGACTGATTTTCCCCCGTTGTCACAGAGGGCAGTGGAGTAGGGGATTGGCAATCTTCTGGTTCTGTTTGGGCAGACGCTCCCTCAGGCAGATAACTGTGGAGCACGTAGTCTGCAGACACTCTTGCAGTCTTTAATAGGGCTCTTCCCTCCCCCAAGGAAAGCAATGGGGGTGGTGTGGAGTGGTGAGGTGTGGTGTGGTGGTGCTTAGCTGGTAATCCTTCCTGGCTACTTAGGAGAACTTTCTCTTGAGCCATGGAGAGCAGCAGGAAGGCGTGTGGCTGGGGATCCTCTGGAGCTTTTTGTCAGGCTCAGGCCTCTCTCACTATCGGCTGGGCTCTCTCTTCAGCCATGGAGAGCAATGGGGGAATATATGGCCTGCTGCACTCGGGTTCTTTGGGCAGGCTCTGCCCTTACTTATGGAGAGTAGTAAGGAGCCTTTTACTGGTGAAGAAGAGGAAAAAGCAATCCTGCCTCTGCTCTGCCAGCCCCAGGCTGCAATAAGTAGCTATGGGGTAAGAGGGAGTGAGCGGGTCTCAACCTGGTGGTCTGCTCACCTAGTACTCCCTCACTAAAACTCGCTGCCAACTCACAGTGACCCTCTAGCACAGGGCAGAACTGTGCTTATGAGTTTCAGAGATGGTAACTCTCTAGGGGAGTAGAACGTCCTTTCTCTCACCGACCTGTGGATGGATGAGCAATTTGTAGCTCAACATGTCAACACCCTGCCACCAGGACTCCTTCCATCCAGTGCAGTGAAGCATAAAAGGTACCAAAAAAAAAAAAAAAGAGGAAAATACCTCATGTAGACTCTGTAGCTTGAGCTCACCATCAACCTAAAGAAACTGGGCTGGTTCAGACCCTTCCCCAACAGCAACCAGAGTGGTGCCGTAGATGTAGTCATTCATTACACCCCTGCTGTCTGCTCACACAGCCCCAGAGGTGTGGGTAGTTCAAGGTGTGCTTTTATCTTTGTCTTCTGAGATTCCAGGCACTTGGCTTTTCTTTCATGATGATTTCTCCGTACTAGTTGTAGAAGAATTCTGTCATGAGTCTAGCTGGGTGGTCATCTCAACCCAGAAATCCCACAGTTTTAAGGGCATAATGATTTATGAACTGGAAAAGTTCATAATCATATGGGGGAAAATGTAATTAATTCTAAGTAAATCAATATAAATACAAAGGTGGGTCATGAAGGCTTAACAAAAGAGATGCCATTTGAATTGGGTGTTAAAAAGGAATGAGAAATTGAGAAATATAAAATTTTAAAAATTTCTGATTGAAGTTATAAAAGCAGAATCATAGAATTGTATAAATCTTTTTATCATAAGAATAATCTTTGTCTGTTTAGTATATTACTCTTCCAGGGGGAAATGGTTGAAATGCATCAAACTGATAAAGTAATTTAATATCAAATTCCACTAGTATGTGATGTCCTACTAAGTGCACCATGTGCATCAGTCCTTTAGACCACCCACTGTTCCTCATGTTAGCAAGGCCACATTCATGGTTAAAAAACCCAACAAACTACAGCATTAGTGGTCAAAGGGATTTATTGAATGTTTGTGAAGTGCTCAGGTCCTATTTGACTTTCATCTTTTAGATATTTTTAATAGAAAGTGTCAATGTAATACGATTAAAATGAATTTTTTCATTTGTTCCATTAGGTAACATGAGAGGAAACCTCCCAAATAAGCCAATGAAAGGAGTTAACTGCTCAGGCGTGTCTGAGTTTGTGCTTCTGGGGCTTTCCAATTCCTGGGAGACCCAGCTGCTTCTGTTTTGCTTCACTTCTCTCCTCTATGTGTCCAGTCTGATGGGAAACCTCCTCGTCGTGGTGACTGTGACTGCTGACTCTTCCTTACACTCCCCCATGTACTGCCTGCTGGCCAACCTTTCGGTCCTCGACCTGATATTTTGTTCGATTGCAGCACCCAAGATGATCTGCGATCTTTTCAGAAAGAAGAAAGCCATCTCCTTTGGGGGCTGTATTTCTCAGATCTTCTTCAGCCATGCTGTTGGGGGCGCGGAGATGGTGCTGCTCATCGCCATGGCCTTTGACAGGTATGTGGCCATCTGTAAGCCTCTCCACTACCTGATCATCATGAACCCACGGCTGTGCATTTTGATTTTAGTACTTTCCTGGACCATTGGCCTCATCCACTCTTTGTCTCAGTTGGCTTTTATTGTAAACTTGCCCTTTTGTGGCCCTAATGTATTAGATAGCTTCTACTGTGACATACCTCGGCTCATCAAACTTGCTTGCACAGATACCTATAAACTAGAATTCATGGTCACTGCTAATAGTGGCTTCATTTCTTTAGGTGCCTTTTTCTTGCTTATCCTCTCTTACATTTTCCTCCTGACTACTCTGCAGAAACAATCCTTCGGTGGGTCATCCAAGGCTGTCTCCACCTTGTCTGCTCACATTACTGTGGTGGTGTTATTCTTTGGCCCACTGATTTTTTTCTATGTGTGGCCTTCTCCCTCAACACACATGGATAAATTTCTAGCCATGTTTGATGCAGTTTTGACACCTTTTCTGAATCCCGTCATCTATACATTTAGAAACAGGGAGATGAAGATGGCAATGAGGAGAGTGTTTGGCCGACTTGGGGGTTGTAGAAAACTCATTTAAGTGGATTTACTAAAGCATCAAATTTACAAATGGTTATTGAAAGCTCATAATACTAGTGTTCATGAACAAAGGTTAGATCAAGCCTTCCAAGTTAAAAAAGAAAAAGTGCCAATAATCACTTTTAGACATTTAAAATAATGATGTAAATAACTTTATATCTCAGAATAACTATGCTATGGTTCTCAAGTTGTTGCTGCTGAGTAATTGGTATATTTGTTAATATTATGCTTCTTTATCTACTTGCATCTCTACCTCCCTTTTTATTCCATATATTGCCTCATTTCAACCATTTGATTATGGGTTACACACAGTAAACAATCTTCCTTGGGATTTGTGTTCCCTTCCATATTCATAAATTTTGCATTCATGCTTTGTTAGAGTGTTTTCTGCTATGTTTTCAGTGAAATGGATTATGTGTTGAAATATGTTTCCTACAAAGGGCCAAATTGTAAATAGTTTAGGTTTTGTAAACTCTATGGCCTGTGCTTCAAGCACTGTATTATGAAAAAGGCCATGGACAATATGTAAACAAATGGGAATAGCTGTGTTCCAATAAACTTTATAAAAACAGCACACTAGATTAGACTTGATGATTATAGTTCGCCAACTGCTGAGGTAGATGGTACCCAACATTTAGATTTACCTTTTCTACCAAATATCATGTTCTCTGTATTAAAACAAGAGAGAGAGAGATATGGAGAATAAAATAAAATTTTGGAAATGATGATGGCAACATATGTACAAATGTGCTTGACACAATTCATATATGGATTGTTATAAGA